GTTTGTCAGAGGTCAGAGCTGCAGAGACATTCAGGCGCTGCAGGGAGGATTTAAATGTGTCTGGCACAGATTTGGAGAAATTAGCAAAATATTTCAGGAGCTGAGCTTTCTGTTTATTTGTCATGAATTTTAGATGTTTCAGAATTAGTATTTTTATTTATATCTCAGTGAGTCTCAGAGAGTCTCAGTGAACTTTTGTTTAAACATTTGGACATTTATTTATTTTATTAAATTAAACAAAACTGTATTTATTTCTGAATTCTAACAGATTATCTCTATTTACTGTAAACTTGGAATGTATTTATTTTTTCTTCAAAAGTGTGAAACAGAATTGCTGAATAAAGAGTCTTAAACCCTGAGTGTGTTCAGAGCTCTTCATGCTGTTTGAGAATTTAAAAAAATAATTGCTAAATAAATGATAGATTGAATTTCACACTGACATCACACTGGGGGTGTTCTGCTTGGATGTCTATGGTGGAATATTATTAACATTATATATGAATACCACGGTGACACAAGTTACGCATGAAAAGTTTTAGTTTAGTTTAAAATCTCAAGAAAAACACAAGAGTGATTTAAATGTCACATTTTCATTTCCTGTGATCAGAACGTTCATGATTCTGTTCAGTTTGATTTGACACGAAAAGTGAAAGAAACTGAAAAACATTAGCTTATGCTAATGCTAACGCTAACACTAATGCTAATGCTAACACTCACGCTAATGCTAAGGCTAACTTGTGAGTGTGGTGTTATTAGAGTGACGTGTTTAACAACTCAGGTCAGATCTCGGTTGGAGCTCAGGTCAGTCAGGTCAGGTCAGATCTCTGTTGGAGTTCAGGTCAGTCAGGTCAGATCTCTCTTGGAGCTCAGGTCAGTCAGGTCAGATCAGATCTCTGTTGGAGCTCAGGTCAGTCAGGTCAGGTCAGATCTCTGTTGGAGCTCAGGTCAGTCAGGTCCTTCAGATTGAAAAAATAAAACTCAGATTCAAGTCAACTTGAGTGACAGAGCTTCAGACAGAGCAGTGCCTCGAGTCGCAGAGGGGAGGACTCAGACTCGAGGAAAAAATCTGAAAATACTTTTCTCTGACACAGCAACATGCCCACTGAAGTACTGTGTACTCTGAAGTACTTGAAGTACTGTGTACTCTGTAAGTACTGTGTAGCGCTTCACTGTCATCACCTCCAGCAGACCACACAAAAACACACATATGAGTCAGGACTAAACCAGGACTAAATCAGGTCTAAACCAGGACTAAACCAGGACTAAACCAGGTCTAAACCAGGTCTAAACCAGGTCTTGCTGGTGTTTCCTCCCTGTGCCTCAGTATTGACACAAACACATGTGAGGTGCTGTAAACAGAGTCTTTGGGTTCACAGCTGGACTGAGGCTCAAACGGGGTCTGGAGTCTGGACCAGGGCTTGGACCAGGATTTAGACCAGGACTCACTGATAGACTGTTATAAATAAGTTATAATAATATATAATATTATAACTGACTCTTCGCTCTGATTGGTGGAGAGATGCAGGTCGTGACTTGTGATTGGCTGAAAATAATTGAATACAAACATGTGAAGGTTTATCACCAGTTTAATATAAAAATATACAGTGAAATCATGAACAGTACAGGAAAAGTCTAATCTGTGTGGAGCCTGCAGGTTAGTGGTTCTATTCCCTGATCTGAGCCAAACACAAAAAGAGCACAGATAAACGGGAGGAGGGGTGTGGGAGGGCATCCGGGTTAATTTCCACGTGAAAAGCCCTGAGGGTAAAAACAGTGAAGCAAACGAACATCCTGAGACTCACACTTCAAACATTCTGGATTTAAAAATACTTTCACTTTAGTCTGATTCAGTTTTACAAAACTCTGTTGTTTTGGCCTCGTGTGTCACAGTGTGTTGAGCGTTCGCCCTGCGGTGAGACGGCGTCACACAGACTCAGCTTTAGCTCTGATTTCAGCTCTAAAGATGAAACACCACAGGGTACGTGGTTCAGTTCTCCGCTGAGCGCAGCTGCTGTTGTTTGTCTCAGACGTATAAAGAAGAATTCAGCGTTTGGCTCCAGTCAAATGAAGCTCAGTGAGGCTGGAAGCTATTACAGCAATGAAAAGTCAATCAGGAGCGAGGCTGTTTACGGTAACGCCGCTTCCTGTCCGCGCCGCTGGTTTAGCGGGGAGCGGGCGCTTAGCAAGTTAGCGGGAGCGACCTCGCGGAAAGGAGTCGGTTCAAAAAGAGTCTCTCATCGTATTTATTTAAGAGACAGAAGCCAAAGTGTTTCAATAAACTGATCCAGGCTCAGATCTGTTTAAAACGCTTCAAACTGAGACTGGAGTGTGTTTACCTTCTGGAAAGATCCAAAGAAAACACTAAAATAATAAACTTTAATAAACTCCTCTGCCGCTCGTGTGACTCGCAGCAAAATCATTTACAGTCGATGATAAACACACAAATTATACAGAAAAAGATTCATTTCATGTTAAAGAACCGTTCAAACGAGTCGATTCACTCACTTCCTGTTTGCTGGCACGTTAGCGCATGACCCTAGCAGGTTAGCGCATTAGCGTGTTAGCGATGTCTGTTCATATAAACTGTGGACAGAACACTTCCCCCTCTCCACTCACAAGAATATTAAAATAAAATAATAATAATAATAATATTAAATCCTACATATTCAGAAGTCCTGGTCTGGTTTCTGAAGTGCGGCTCTTGAGTTTTAGAGTTTTGTGCTTTTCTCATTCTGTGTTTACATTTAACAAAATAAAACATTTCAGGTTTAAAAACACTATCATGGCTTTGGTCCTGTTATAGTCCTGGTTTAGTCCTGGTTCAGTCCTGTTATAGTCCTGGTTTAGTCCCGGTTCAGTCCTGTTATAGTCCTGGTTTAGTCCCGGTTTAGTCCTGTTATAGTCCTGGTTTAGTCCTGTTATAGTCCTGGTTTAGTCCTGTTATAGTCCTGGTTTAGTCCTGGTTCAGTCCTGTTATAGTCCTGGTTTAGTCCTGGTTTAGTCCTGGTTCAGTCCTGTTATAGTCCTGGTTCAGTCCTGTTATAGTCCTGTTTAGTCCTGTTATAGTCCTGGTTCAGTCCTGTTATAGTCCTGTTATAGTCCTGGTTCAGTCCTGTTATAGTCCTGGTTTAGTCCTGTTTTAGTCCTGGTTTAGTCCTGTTATAGTCCTGGTTCAGTCCTGTTATAGTCCTGGTTTAGTCCTGGTTTAGTCCTGTTATAGTCCTGGTTCAGTCCTGTTATAGTCCTGTTATAGTCCTGGTTTAGTCCTGGTTTAGTCCTGGTTTAGTCCTGTTATAGTCCTGGTTCAGTCCTGTTATAGTCCTGGTTCAGTCCTGTTATAGTCCTGGTTTAGTCCTGTTTTAGTCCTGTTATAGTCCTGGTTCAGTCCTGTTATAGTCCTGGTTTAGTCCTGTTTTAGTCCTGGTTTAGTCCTGTTATAGTCCTGGTTCAGTCCTGTTTAGTCCTGGTTTAGTCCTGTTATAGTCCTGTTTAGTCCTGTCCTTTATAGTCCTGTTATAGTCCTGGTTTAGTCCTGGTTCAGTCCTGTTATAGTCCTGGTTCAGTCCTGTTATAGTCCTGGTTCAGTCCTGTATAGTCCTGGTTATAGTCCTGGTTTTAGTCCTGTTTATAGTCCTAGTCCTGTTTATAGTCCTGGGTTTAGTCCTGTTATAGTCCTGGTTATAGTCCTGTTATAGTCCTGGTTCAGTCCTGTTATAGTCCTGGTTTAGTCCTGGTTCAGTCCTGTTATAGTCCTGGTTCAGTCCTGTTATAGTCCTGGTTCCTGTTTTAGTCCTGTTATAGTCCTGGTTCAGTCCTGTTATAGTCCTGGTTTAGTCCTGTTTTAGTCCTGGTTTAGTCCTGTTATAGTCCTGGTTCAGTCCTGTTATAGTCCTGGTTTAGTCCTGTTATAGTCCTGGTTCAGTCCTGTTATAGTCCTGTTATAGTCCTGGTTTAGTCCTGGTTCAGTCCTGTTATAGTCCTGGTTCAGTCCTGTTATAGTCCTGGTTCAGTCCTGTTATAGTCCTGGTTTAGTCCTGGTTCAGTCCTGTTATAGTCCTGGTTCAGTCCTGTTATAGTCCTGTTTATAGTCCTGGTTTAGTCCTGTTTTAGTCCTGGTTTAGTCCTGTTTTAGTCCTGGTTCAGTCCTGTTATAGTCCTGGTTCAGTCCTGTTATAGTCCTGGTTTAGTCCTGGTTCAGTCCTGTTATAGTCCTGGTTTAGTCCTGGTTCAGTCCTGTTTTAGTCCTGGTTTAGTCCTGTTATAGTCCTGGTTCAGTCCTGTTATAGTCCTGTTATAGTCCTGGTTTAGTCCTGTTTTAGTCCTGGTTTAGTCCTGTTATAGTCCTGGTTTAGTCCTGGTTCAGTCCTGTTATAGTCCTGTTTTAGTCCTGTTTTAGTCCTGTTTAGTCCTGGTTTAGTCCTGTTATAGTCCTGGTTCAGTCCTGTTATAGTCCTGGTTTAGTCCTGTTATAGTCCTGGTTTAGTCCTGTTTAGTCCTGTTTAGTCCTGGTTTAGTCCTGTTATAGTCCTGGTTCAGTCCTGTTATAGTCCTGGTTTAGTCCTGTTATAGTCCTGGTTCAGTCCTGTTATAGTCCTGTTTTAGTCCTGTTTTAGTCCTGGTTTAGTCCTGTTATAGTCCTGGTTTAGTCCTGTTTAGTCCTGTTAGTCCTGGTTTAGTCCTGGTTTAGTCCTGTTATAGTCCTGGTTCAGTCCTGTTATAGTCCTGTTTTAGTCCTGGTTTAGTCCTGGTTTAGTCCTGTTATAGTCCTGGTTTAGTCCTGTTATAGGACTGTGGTCTCTGTCTGCAGGATGGACTGTGTTCTGCAGTTCCTGTGGGGGGCGCTGTTCCTCAGGGTGGTGCAGTTGAGTTTATTCTCAGGTTTGAGGGACAAACTCCTCCAGCCCCGACAAATCTCGGCCTGAACCTGCGGGAACACGACAGAGAGAGAGAGCGAGGACAGAGTGTAAGACCGGACACAAGTGGACGGACGGTAGAATACA